GGGGGCCCGGGAGGACCTTGAAGGGGGGAAGGCGGCGACAATGTGTGTGTTTCATATATATTTATATATAAATTTGTAAATACAGGTGTATTGTAATATGTTCCCGTCTAAGTACATGTGTATTTTTATGCATTCGTATCTAAATACATGTGTATTTTTATGTGTTTTTAGCTAAATGTACGAATATATGTGTTTTTTTATGTTTTAAGCTATCTATGCTTAGAGACACGCGTGTATTTTCCTAGCAGTGCAGCCCGGTGTGCTCGGATAACTCTCCCCTGCTCCTTGGCAGCCCCTGGGCCACAGCCCTGAGCCGTGTTTTGGTGGCCCGTCCCCAGAACTCGTTCCCCTTTTCGCTTCGTCCCAGGTGCCACCAGGGCGTTCGCCTTTGGCGCGAGTAAAATTGTTTTTTTGGCACAAAGAAGCGTCGCTGAGAGAGAAGTGGGACGTGGCACACGTGCCTGGGAACCACCTGGGGACGCAGAACGAAACGTCCCCTCGTTCTTGAACACCAGCTCGTTGTGTTTCTGCTCTGCCCCGGCGCCAGCCTGGGGGGTCTGAGCCCAAAATTGAGGTGGGTTTGTGCCCCAGGTGGTGGGTCCCATCCCTCCTTGGTTCCTCCCGCTCCTCTGGGAGCTGGCATGGGGAGGATGGTTAAGCTCACCTCCCCGTTTGGTGAGGAGGGGTTTGGAGCGCTCCACCCATTGGCTAGGGAGGAATTTGGGAATAATTCTCTGTCTTTGGAACACCAGGTGCTTCTCCTGACGCACTCCCTATCTCCTAGGTCAGCATGATCCCGGGGCACGGGCCGGTGACCCAGGCGGTGCTGGGGACCTTCCTCACGTGGGGGCTGACGGCGGCTGGCTCGGCGCTGGTGTTCGTGTTTTCCAGCGGGCAGGTGGGTGCCCGGATCCTCCGGCCCCGGGAAGCGAGCGAGGTTTCCGTTTTGTAACGAGTAAAATTAATTTCAGGAAATATCAAGAGAGGTGGAAGACTTTGGGGAGCCAAAAAGCATTTAATTTAGAATGATAAACACGAGGGAGCAATGCTCGCTTCTTCTAATCTTAATAGTAATTTTATTTTTTTTTAAATAGCTCACTATTATCGCTTGTAATCTGTCGCAGGTGACTTTTTATAGGATGGGGGGAGGATGGAGGGCAGCGCTGCGCTCGCGAGTGGGTTTGCCTGGTCCCGAGTGTGGGGGACTTGGCTTTGCCCCTGGGACGTCCTGGGGCAGGAGGAGGAAAAAAATCCAGCTCGTTTCTCTCCTGTGTGTCAACACAGGAGAGGAGAA